CGGAGGGGACATTGGGGACCCCAAAAATTGGGATGGGACCCCAAAATGGGGGGAGGGGACACTTTGGGGACCCCCCAAATTGGGGATGGGACCCCAAAATGGGGGGAGGGGACATCGGAGACCCCCAAAATGGGATGGGGACACTTTGGGGACCCCAAAAATTGGGATGGGACCCCAAAAATGGGATGGGGACCCCAAAAAATGGGATGGGGACACCTTGGGGACCCCAAAATTGGGGGAAGGGACACTGGGGACCCCAAAAATTGAGGAGAGGACCCCAAAAATGGGATGGGAAGACCTTGGGGACCCCAAAATTGGGGAGGGGGACCCCAAAAAGGGGGGAAGGGACATTGGGGATCCCCCAAAATTTGGGATGGGACCCCAAAATGGGGGGAGGGGACATTGGGGACCCCCAAAATTGGGGGGAGGGGACATCAGAGACCCCCAAAATCGGGGAGGGGACACTTTGGGGACCCCAAAATTCGGGATGGGACCCCAAAATGGGGGGAGGGGACATTTAGGGACCCCAAAATTGGGGAGGGGACATTGGGGACCCCCAAAATTGGGGACAAAGCGACCGCAGCCACCCCGACGTCGCTGCCCCCCGAATTTATTTCCTGAACCGGTCCAGGGCTCCCTTTTTTGGGGTTTTTCCCCCCAATTTTGGGGTCTTTCCCCCCAGTTTGGGGCCGGGACCCCCCTTCTGCCCCTTCCTCTTCGTTTTGGGGTTTTCCCCCTTTTTTTGACCATTTTTGGGGGGTTTTTCCCCAAATTTTTTCCCCGAATTTTGGGCATTTCCTTCCCCTTTCTCCGGATTTTTTGGGGTTTTTTCTCCCAATTTTTTTCCGGTTTTTTGGGGATTTTCTCCCATTTTTTCCCCAGATTTTGGGGTTTTTTCTCCCAATTTTTTCCCGGTTTTTTGGGGATTTTCTCCCATTTTTTCCCCAGATTTTGGGGTTTTTTCTCCCAATTTTGTGCCGTTTTTTTGGAGATTTTCTCCCAATTTTTTCTCCTTTTTTTTGGGGTTTTCTCCTAATTTTTTCTCCTTTTTTGGGGGGTTTTCTCCCAATTTTTTCTCCTTTTTTTTGGGGTTTTCTGCCATTTTTTTCCCAGATTTTTGGGGGGATTTCTCCTCTTTTTTCCTCTTTTTTTTGGGGGGTTCTTCCGAGTTTTTCTCCTTCTCCTTCTGCTCCAAACTCCGCCGGATCCGGGCCTGGGGGAAAAAATGGAGAATTTGGGACCCCTCCCAAAAATTTCCCGAAAATGAGACCCCGAAATTGCCAAAAAATTCTTAAAAAAGTCCCAAAAACGTCCCCAAAAAGGTCCCCAAGAAATTCCTAAAAAGTCGTAAAAAATCCCCCAAAAATTCTCAAAATATCCCCCAAAAATTTTCAAAAATATCCCAAAAAATCCCCCCAAAATTTCCAAAAATATCCCAAAAAAACCCAAAAAAAAAGTCTTCGATAACTCTCAAAAAATCCCCAAAAAATTCTCA